AGTGACTGTAAAACACTGGTGTAGAAATATGGCTCAACTATGTGTTTGTGCAGCAAAAAGTCAGTCTGTAAATCTGCTCTAGATATAGACATTAATTATAGATTTTCCACCAGAAAGTCAGAAAGGGTGAAGAAAGCCCTGTGTCATTTCACTGAATCGTATAAGAAACTCTAAAATAGATTGTGAGCCTTTTAAAGTCAGTACTCTGAGTTTAAGAGGTTGAACGAGTACCCTCGCCTGACCCTATCATCATGGACCGCACACAAAAACCATACCACCAAGCTCCGTCTCTCCATCTAAAAGACAGCAGTTGTCCATCAATTATATGGCTGCACACCACTTTGAAAAAGCAAAACTCAGGCTCCATCAGTCACAGGAGAATTCAGAATTGCACAAGCCCGCTCTCGCAATTTCTTCACCAAACCATTTTTTTTTATGCCCCCCCAATATTTTACAGGAATGCAACCAGAGCGGCGGTGACGAGGCACTTTAGGGATGTGAGCTGGAATTAAAAACAAACATTTGCCCGGCTGCCTGTCGTAGTAATGAATTTGTCTTTCATAAGCTAATCTCTGCACAAATGTTTTGCATTTGTTCCTCGTATGCATACATATGTTGATTGTATAGTATGTCTTTGTGCCACATGCTTCATTGCAGCCTGTGTAAAAACTCAATTTACGTCCAGAATGCACAAGCTGAACTCTGTTTTCCTTTTTTTTTTTTGTATTAATCAATGACACTATTGGGACTGTTGAGTTGCTACAGCACAATGGCACAAAACAACCTTGTCATCATCATAACTGCTTTGCAGGTGGGTGAAGAACTGAGACAAATACCCACTGGAAGCTTGTGATTAGGACCTTCACTGGCATCTCTTTTTTTAACCATAATCTTCACAGTCTGTGTTCTCATTTGTCTCTGTGCTGGTATCATACACACTTCTTTCTATTCTGAATGAACTGCCATACATGTGAAACCCATTTGTGCTTGCACTCTACTGCACACAATGCCATCACCCCGTTAGTCTATGTGAAGAGAGCGTGGGTCATTCTGTATGAACTTTTGTCAGAAAAGTATGATAACACCTTCAAGTGTGTTGAAGATGGAAAAAAAGGAGAGGGATGAAAGTAAAGGGGTGGGGGTGCTGGGATAGAAAATAAAAGACAGAATGACAGGTAGAGAACAAAAGAGGTCATAGGTGATAGATTGGAAGGTTCATGAATTGGAGAACCATAGAAAGTACAAATGAAAAGAAAAGGATCACACTAAAGCATTTAAATAAGCCCGCACTTTGCTATAAATAAAATATTTTCTATTTTACTTTTGATTCATCATATTTAAGAACAAATATTACATAAACAGTTAAACAGCACAGAGTCCGGATACCGTGGTCCTTCGTTTATCGTGGGAGTTATGTTCAAAAAATTCCCGCAAAAGGTGAAATCCGCAAAGTAGCCAACTTCATTTTTTTCAATTATTATTATTAGTGTGTTAAGGCTACAAAACCCTTTAAACACACTTTTCTCAGACAGGCATGAACATTTTCCCACTCTACTCTCTTGTTTAAACACTATCAATGCACTAATGTAAAAATTAAAAAAGATGCACAATTCCAGTAAAGGTAAGGAATGTTTTCAGGTGTATTTATTATTTTTTCCTTAAATTATTAACTTCAGTTACAGTTTGGGCTGCTTGAATGTTTTCACAAAAACACCGCTAGAATACCGAACACTGTTATGTTACGGCCACAGCAGCACAAGCAAGACACTGAGACAACCGGCCACTCCGTGTGTTTGGTTCAGTTTGGGTCCAGCATTCCACTTCCCTTCTCGCTGCTACTGTAACTTTAAAAACCAGGAGATGCACTCCATGTGTCCTCACCAAGCAAAGACTTTTCAGATGGTCACAGTTAATGCTTTTCCTCTCAGCCATGGACATTTTTTTGTTTTAGACATAAATTGTTCAACTGTCACTAGCATATATGGTTACCGCTAGCTTGTTCAAACAGCATTCGGCTTCGGACTCTGATTGGTTCTTTTCTCGTCTAGTCTCACCTATCCCAATTGCTGATTGGTTGTTTTATTCATTTGCCTATCTTTTCCATATTCTGATTGGATTTTTGTTCATTTCCGTTGCCACCTTTAACATATTTGACAGAAAAATATCCACAAAATAGCGAAGTCTCAAAAGGTGAACCGAGAGGGACTACTGGACCATCATCCCATCGCCTGTTTCCTTATTTTTTCTTTACAGAAACAATGATGATTAAAAATACATGATTTCTTTCATAATTTCTCATTCATTTCTGTAAGCAAGGAAGCCCAAAGGATTTTCCACTGCTTAGCAGACTGGTGTCAGTCGGCTGTATATAGATAAAGGTTTATCATGATGCTAAAAATGAAAATCTGATAAAACATTATCCACGTTAATGTTCTTTGCTTAGGGGAAAGTATTAAATAAAACTATTTTACACAACACTTAGATGTTATGAATGGCATTAATATCACCCACAAACCCACTGAGATGAAAAGCCTGATTAAAGTGAGGTGATGAACTACAGCTAAGAGGGAACTGTGTTTAATAGTGGAGAACAAAATGCAGAAAATTGGGCCAAGTCCTTTTTAGCAGGCTGCTCTTTCTGAAAGAACAGACTTAAAAGCGAATGGAACAGAACATTTGGATAATCTGAATGTTGGATCATATTAATGTCAGCTAAAATACACATCCAAGGCAATGCAAAGTAGTCTTTATGTACTGTCTCACAATTTACCTCATAGGTCAATGTTTAGAGTGTGAATGTGTGTGTGAATATAATAATAATATAAGAATTAGATCTTATTAATCACCGATTATGAGACAAGCACCTAACCTCTGGGCCACGACAGTGATTATAAACTTTCACAGTCAAAGACCCATAAAATAATCTGCAGCTTTCCTGTGTCAGGTTTCAGTTAATTCCATATTCCCTCGCCAGGGCTTAGCTGTCCACGATCTGCCAAATTGAAAATATTTACAAATAAGTTATTGTGATCTCGCAGTAAGACCATTAGAAAGCAAAAAAATGGAACCAATATCTGGCATAACCTTTGCTGTGATATGACCCTAAAGTTTAGGTTAGCTAAAGTGCTAGCTAGTGTTTAGGAGACAGCTAGTCTGGCCTGCCAGACTCATCCTCTTGTTTAATTCTGCACAGAGAAAGAGTCTGGTAACTCAGGCGGAGAGACACTTGAGGGGCGAGACAAGGCAGCTCAAAAATAACCAGTCAGAAAAAAGACTGAAATGGTGACTGTACCACGTGGCGCTGTAGTTTTTTAGGTGTAGTAAAAAAATAAATAAATAAAAAGGCATCTGGCGACTGCGCAAACATCTTTTTATTTCCTTAGAAGAAATGCTTTTAGCGCTTCTACTTGTGGTTTTAAAGACACTCAAGTCATTTAGAACAGAGAAAAGAGCCGCAGCAAACTCCGCTCGGCGTTATGGTGTGTGGCGTACGCTACTCAGCGCTGATTGGCTCGGTTAGAATTCTCAGGGGTGGGGTTATTTGAATAGGAGAGTTCCCTGACCCTTTCTCTGTGCAGAATTAAATAGAGGAGGAGTCTGGCAGGCCAGGCTAGGAAACAGCACACTGATGACTGACTGAATGGGGCAGATTTCCCAGCATGCCACACTCTTTCCTAAATGTTGAAAATTAAAGCAAATTCATTAGTTGCGATTAGTTTTTATTCAAAGTGAAATTATCATTGATTAAATTAAATATTGACATAAATGTATCAAAGAAAAGTTGGTTATAGTTCTTAAGTTAACAGTGAACAATCGACACCATGAATGAAACAGGTTATGGAGTTGGTTGAAAACACAGCTGCATGCATTCTTTATTAAGTAATTTCTTGTTCAAAAATAGTGGGGACAAAACACCTATTTATTAACAGTATTGGAGACATGTCGCTGGCTACAATGATGCCTACGCAGACAAATTTCTTTCACAAACATTCCTCGACTAGATGAGAAATTGTAGATTAGATGCGACTTCAGAGTAAACAAATATGGCTGATTAGCAGAGCTGCGCACATCTGTCACCTTGATTTCTGATTGACTAAACTTCACATTTAGTGGGATTTATGGCTATTTCATGGGAGCCATTCATTAGTCGGTCGTTTACCTCAAAGAGCCGATCAAAAGACTGCCTACTTTGAACGAAGTAAAGCCATGACAGCCGGGAGGTGGTTAATAGGAACGTGTTCCTCCGGTGTCCGTGAGGGTGCACGGTGGTTGGGTAGCCTTCCACCAACGTCCGTCACAGTGGTTGGTTGAGGTTTGTTACCGGAAGACAAGATGAACGGTTCTCTACAGGGATTCGGCTCTCGTCGTTCACTTTGAAAGGTTCGATTTGTTCGTGAACCTCACATCATTATTCACATTAAACAGGCAGCACATGTATTTTTCTTTGAAATTGGTGAAAAGATTTCAAGTAGATATGTGAAATATGTTGAAAATCCCCGACTTAGGGTCAGAACAGTATCTTCTGATATCCTTCAGAGCAGACCAGAGCACACTCAATACAGCAGGAATACCTGATTAGTATTAGCATTTTTAGAATCACATCGGGGGCATCCTCATTATTGTCAGAAGAGGAGAATTGGGCCAAAAAATAACTAGTTTTTTCCACACAATTAATAAAAAAATGTGCAGGTTTTCATTTCCAAACCGTTACTTTTGAAATGAGACTGTTTTGGATACCTCAGTAGCATACATACCACTAAAAGTGAATGTGGCTGTATGCTGCTGTAACTTTCTCTATAAGACCATGCCTAAATCTGAAAATACTACGTGGAACAAAAATCTGATCATTGTAAATCACTGCTATTCATTTTAAATTGCATCAGCTCAATGCATTTTCTGAGTTAAGCTGTAAGTAATAAGGCATAGTGCCATTTCTATGTGTGTACAGTAAAGACTTTCCTTCGCTCTAAAGGTTTCAGCATCTACAGCTGTTTACATACTTGAGGAGCACACAGCCGGTGCCACTAGGAGGCGCTGTCCAAAACACCTGGATACTGGTTCGCCTGCGAGGAGTGCTTTCAGTCACAGCTGGAGGACAGTTGGTCATAAACTGTGTCTCTTCTTCATCAATTATCTGTAAGACAAACAAAAAACAATTAAATTTAACTTTTGTTCATTTATTATAATGAAATGTGTTTGATGAGATGAAAGAGAAAAACACACTCTGTCACTGAGCAAAGTTCAATAAGTACGTGAGAAGGAAAACAGAAAATAAGCCAAAGAGTTCGATACTCATAATATTAAAGGGATAATTGGTAGTTATGCTTGCTTTTAGCACCTCCTAGTGTCCGTTATTAATTATTTGTGGTTAAACCGAAAATGAAACGTATGTCTTCTCTGTGAGTTTGTCTTTTTAACACTTTAATCTACCAGATGAAACGTCTCCTCAGCTTTTATTAGTTTCTAGAAGAGCGATCCATCAATAAATCAAATAAATCAGCTGTGTTCGTGATCTATACCATGCAGGAAACAGGCTGGAAGCAAACTCCAGTGCCAGGCATGTCAGCTCCACTCCACTTAAAAGCTCCATCTAACAGCAGATCGCAGCCCGCCAACTCTGAAGTTGTGAGTGCTGTATTCTGGGGGTGATGGGGGCTGAGTAAAATTTCATTAGCCCTGTGAAGTGTCATTTTAGCACATAGTGGCTCAAGAAAAGGACTTTTTTAAAGTAGCATAGTATAAGCTTAATGTCCAAAGTTCAATATCTAAATGATCTCCACTCATTAATAATGTGATTTGCGGTTTAAGACCCACATGGTAGAAACTGTTCCGTAATCTAGATGTCAGGGTATTCAGACTCCTGTAGCGTCTGCCGGGTGGTAACAGGGTGGACAGTTTGCATGCTGGATGGCTTTGGTCTTTGGAATCAAAGAAGAATTAAAAAAAAAACTTGGCAAACAACTTCAGAAAAACCCACAATTGTTTAATTTATTAAGTTAGAATGGTTTGATATTAATTTGCATTGTTAAGTGTAGGTGACGGCACGTAAAAGAGGAAACTTTACTTTGAATCACTTGCCTGACCGGATCACAAACGCCACTATATTAGTTGTATTTGAGCAGCCAAAAGATAACAGGCTGGGAAAAGATTAGTCAGCAGTAATCAGAAGGTTGCAGGTTTGATCGCGGCCCTGGACAGAGAATTCTGCTGTTGTGTCCTTGGGCAAGACACTTAACCCACCTTGCCTCCTGGTGGTGGTCGGAGGGACCGATGGCGCCTGTGTTTGGCAACCTCGTCTCTGTCAGTGCGCCCCAGGGCAGCTGTGGCTACATCGTAGCTCATCACCATCAGCGTGTGTGTGAATGGATGAATGATACACTGTAGTGTAAAGCGCTTTGGAGTCCTTACTCTGAGAGGCGCTATACAAGTGTGGGTCATTTATCATTTACCATAGTCTATAAAAGATAAACATGACAAAATGTGTTATGCTTCTTTATAAGTTTAGATTGATGTGACTGTCCGTCCATTTCAGCTTTTTCAAAAAGGACTCTGAGGCATTCTTCACCCAGCCAAAAGATGTCCTCCCTCCAGCCATTGTTAGGTTTAACCTTAGCTTTCTACTCCATGGAAACTGTCCAGAAAACCTTCCCTTGGAGGTATCTGCAGATATCCGAGCAGATGCACAAACCCCCACTTTCTTGGATCCTCACGATGCAGGAAAGTTCTAATTCTCCTCAACTCATGCTTTCTGAGAGATGGCGTTTCTCACATCACCCCCTTTTAATTTAAGTGTATTTTTGATGATGTTTATGGGGTTATCATGGTGTGTGAGTGCAGGAACGTGATCATCTTTTTTTCTTCAAGCCATCGTCACTTTGCTCTATAATCACTCATAAAACATAATAAGACTCACCACACCTCCTTTAATTTTTCTAGATGGCCAGAAGTTGCAAGGTAATGACACATTTGGGAGAACACCGCCTAACCATGACGACTTCTAAAACATCTGCGTACTTGACTCAGTAGATAACTGGAAATGCATGAGAGCCTCTGGCTGCACACCTGAGATACTGAACATGTCACTGATTTTTAACTGCACGTAAATTCCAATGAGCTGTGCCAGTGAGCTAATGTCCACTCCCCAGAGACCGAGCATCCGTCTGATATGGAGTGGCATCAGGGCAGTAAAGACGAGGAACTTTCTCACTCCATAAAGCTGTCAGCAGAGAATTCCTTCTGTCATGCCATGTTATGAATGGGTTCTTTTTGAAAATCGATGTGTGTGTGCGTGCATGTGTGTGTTCCACTCAAAGACATTGAGTGAAAAGGGGGGAATCTGAAAGCAATGTGTGTGTTATTGTGTGCGTGTCTATTCACTTCATGTGTATGTGGCCTATTTTGGTCTAACGGATTACACCCCCCCCCCCCCCCCTTCCTCCATGTTCCCATGGTTTCTACAGAGGCAGCCTAAGCCGGCCGGCCAGAGCCACGACACATGTCGAAACCAGTGGTCTCATGCAAATGTGTTAAAGACCATCTGCAAAAGGAGGCGACCAATTTGTTGCAGAATGACCCGTGACCCTTCCCTTATTGTCCTTTTCGACTGAGGTTGGTTGAAAATAATTTAAAAAAAACAAAATGTTGTGTTTGTCACCCCATATTTAGCTTTTGTGACCTTCTTGTAGGGTTTTGACAATACTATTCAATGAAAAGCGACAAGGTGATTTCAGAAATGTGAACAGAACAGACTGTTTGGTGGCAAAAGCCACACCATTCTGATGATTTCACTCCTTTATAAAGCTACAATTTGCCTTTTCTTGTTCTGTGATCTCACCCTGCTGAGAAGTAATGTCTCATCAGCCATTGCCAACATTCCCTGCTGGTTTCTGCTCTCGCCAAAACACACACACACACACACACACACACACACACACACACACACACACACACACACACACACACACACAGTGGCAGCTGACCTCCCAAGAGAGCTCAATAAAAGTGCTTTTCATCAAGTCAGGAGCTGCGTTGAGATGGATGAGATGGGGCACGCCGGCAGATTTCAAATGAGCAGCATGTTAAATAAAACGTCACATCTTTGTTACAGAAACTTTTTCCTTTTTATTCATTTTTATGTCTTAAAAAGCATTTAGTGAGGAAGGCTGACTGATTTATTTGTGTGGCCACAGAACGTATATAATATATGAAAAAATTATGATTCCAAAGGTCTTTTTTGGACATTCTGTCTCCTGCTCTGTCACCTATACTGATCTCTGTGAGACAGGTGATCATCTGCTGCTGTAAAAGAGATCTTTAGCTGTTAAAACCATGACAGATGTCCAGTCGAAATCTGGTCCTGCAATTTCTCTCTTTGCCAAGATCTAAAAGGATACATTCACACATCTGACTCTAGAATCCATCGTTTCTCTGAGCATGCCACACACATTAAACGGCGATGTCCTTCTCACACACTTCTGCTGATGTTTTGAATCACACACTCTCCTGATATCTAACCTACTGCAAACACAAAAGGCAAAAGAACCTCTTGCAAATGACAGTGCTGGGTAATAGGATATGAGGCGCACATAGGATGAAAATAAAAAGCGCCTTCGCTTCTTTCTGTTCATGACAAGCTCCACACAGAGCGTGACGGTACACCGGTGTGATCAGAGGAGCGGGAATAGACTGCTCTGTAACTTCCTCATGAACCGTACTACGGGCTCTTCATTATAACAAATGTCAGTGAAAACAATAAAGACTGTACAAAAAAAAAGGGCAACGCACACGTTTTTTTTGGCATGTTAACTTTCTAGACCCAAAAGTGCAGGAAGCTGTAAGTGAATCAGTCTTAATAAAAAATGTGATAAAAGAGAACACTTACAAGCCTGCAGCACAAGGAGATCACCGGGAAATGTAAAAATCAACAGAGGAAGAAAGAGTTGCACACAACTGAGGGTTGGTACCCCGTGTGCTGGAGGAACTGAGGACTACTTATCCAAGGGCGAGTGATAACAGGGGGAGAGAAGCTCATTAATGGTCGGATGTCAGCAATAGCAATGACACAGTAAAATGCTTAAACTAGTCAATAAAATAACCCAAAAGCCAAAGATGATGACATTAAAGTTGCGTAACACTGAAAACCCATTATTAAATGATTATTTGTGATTCTAGTTTTTCATGCAGGCTGAACATGAAAATAGTCTCCTACTCCTATCTCCTGCATCAGCTTCTGATAGAAAATAGACAGTGAAAGTCTGGGATTTGAAAAGCCTGACAGATCTACGTCAGCAGAGAACGTATATGCTAGTAGAAGCTAACTGTTAGCGTTAGCAACTCCACCACACAGCAGAACTCCTCCAGACTTGTGTTATTTGTGGAGATAAAACATCAGTGCTGCAAAGCAAACAGAGTCAGTGGTAGTCACATTGCTGTTAGCCAACCAGAGGCGAGATGTCTACAAATCAGGGACTAAGACTCCAAACCCTGTCGTCTGAAGCTCAACTCTGACGTGGCAACTTTCTAGCTCCTGAAACTGGTGCAGTGGAGCTTTTTTTCCCCCAAAGCACATCTTACAAGGCATTCATTCCTACTAGAGACTACTGCAAATGTATTAAATGATTGTTCCAAACCTTAAATTTAGTCTAGATTTGACAAAGAGCTTCTGTTGAGCTGTGTATTCACCTGTGCACACGCAGCCTTGTTCTGTATCAAAAACACACCATTAAACGCAATGCAAGTCACTGATCTTGCAAAATAACAACCTGCACTTCTCAGAATTGACACAACTTGAGTTTAATAAACGTATCTAAAAACACTACACCGTGTAGACATAAATCTCAAACCTAGAGCACACCTACTGATTATTTCCCAAACACCTTTTCTCACAAGTTTCCTGTATTTCTTCATTATCACGTCAACTGCGTCTGCACCACTTCCCTGCCTTTATTTCAATCCTGGCTCCTTTCCAGTCTCTCCCTTTAACACTCAAGCTGAACCAAGGCTTATAAAACTCTAATTAGCCTCTGAACTACTTTAATTGTGCACTTCCTACATACATGCTTGCTTGTGGATGTATAATTAAAGTCTTTATGTCAACAACCTGGGAAAGAAAAGCAACGTGAAGATGAGCTGGGGGTTGATGCTAAATCTAGCCTTTAAAGATGAGAGGGAGATAAAATAATCACAAGCTGACATTTAAAGGTAAAGAATTCTCATCTGCTGGAGAGCAAACCAAGGATGGAGTTTATATGACAGCTGTAGAGTTTCCTCACCTTCTCTAATTAAATGTATCATCATAGAAGCATAATTGGCATGGTATGCTTTATTATTTTTAGAATATAACCACTGCATACCAAGAGCCAAGCATGCAGACTGTACTTACCTGGAAATTTCCAGCATAGTCCTCATCTCTGTCTCCTTCTGCGCCCTCCCTCGTGGCTATAAGTGTAAATCCTCGAAAGTATGATGGGCTGGATGCTGTCAGACTCACTGGATGGACACAATAGCACACATCAGTTACTGGTGAGAAGGTCCACTGCAACACAAATTTATCCAAACACATCCTCGGATTGGTCAACAACTTCTTTATGCCATTTAGAAATATTAGCATTTTTTAATTACCTTTTAGATGACAGACAAATTGTCTAATTTAACTCTATCTGTGCACAGTTAAGTAGTTATGTCTGTATATTCTACATTATACTGCTTTGCTCCATCATCTATCTATCTATCTATCTATCTATCTATCTATCTATCTATCTATCTATCTATCTATCTATCTATCATCTATCTATCTATCTATCTATCATCTATCTATCTATCTATCTATCTATCTATCTATCTATCTATCTATCTATCTATCTATCTATCTATCTATCTATCATCTATCTATCATCTATCATCTATCTATCATCTATCTAAAGATATTAATGAGGTTTTCACTTTAAAGTAAAAAGGATCTTAATGTATTTTTAAAATACTATAATCATTTATACAGTATGGCTGGCAACTATGAAAGTCCTCCTTTTTCTCTTTTGCAGTGAAAATCAATCACTTGATGGCAAATAACTAAAAAACAGAGCTTAAAAGGAACCAATTCATCCCTGCAGAGCTTTTTAAAGGGGCATGCATGAGCTATTTCGGCATGTTGTTACAGCAAAAACAAGAGCAGTGATGCACTTTTATTTCCAACATTAAAAAAAGTATTTTAAAAGAAAAATTAGACACCAAATGAAATTTGTTGGGTCAAAATAATTACTTACTTTTTGATATTAAAATATGATCCTAAAGCAATTCTATTTTAACAGTTATTGTGTGACCTTTGCATTAAAAGTAAATAGAGCAGGAACTTATTGTGGAAGTTTTCTGCTGACTGGGGAGTTCTTACCTCTGTAGGTGCTCCCCGGCTGGTAGCTCTCCGGGTCTCCCTCGACGCGGAGCCGAAACTCGTTGTTGACCTCTTTCCGGTTGCTCTGAGCCCGCAGGATCCGACTACAATAGCTGTCCGCCTTCACGGCTCTGTCGGAGGGCTCCTCGGTAAACGCGAACGTATTGCACGCCGCGGAGGAGATGAAGCAGAGCAGGAGCACAACGCGCGGATCCAGTCCTGATGCTGGCATGCTGCTGTTCTCAGAGAAAACACAAATCTTGAATGATATTGGAGGTTTTTCTGAAGGAGAACTCTAAGTTGCCAGCTTCTGGAGTGGACTTGTGCGCTGCTAGCAGGGCAGATCCATCCTGGTGTGAATGAGAGAGGAGGAGGAGGAGGACTGGCTGGGATGTGCTGTGCGCTCCCTCTCTGCACCACACGCGCAGCTGAGGAGGATGGCAGTGGTCCGGGAAGTGGCCAAGCGCGTAATGAAGTAAGGCTGCGCGCCTCTCTCTGGGGCCACAAATATATATAATATATATATATATATATATATATATATATATATATATATATATATATATATATATATATATATATTTACAAACTGACAAGGCGATTAATACTAACCAACAGGGAAACACACACAGCCTGGATGAGTGTGCACAAGAGGCAGCACGTTCAGTCGAGCTGGGCTCCTTTTACAATCTTGGTGAGTGTGTCATCACCCAAGCCCCTTATGGGCAGACTCAAGAGGAAATAACAAAATAAATCTCAAACATTTGCCCTTTTCGGGGTTTTTTTTCCTGTTGCAAAATTATTTAGCCTAAATTAGCTGAGCTGTATTTTGATGTGTCTCAGGCACCCCCGGACTTTCGCATGGGCTCACCTGGGCTACAGCCCTGGGCCCCTGCGTGCTGGAGGGCCCCGCCCTCGGTCCAAAACGCATTTTTATTTTTGTATGTAATTCGCTAACAAGATGTTACCATTTAGCTAAGAAGCACTGGGATTTGTTTTGGCAAACATCTATCATGAGTCATGACTGCTTATAATTGGTCCAAGTTTTTTCACTCTTTATGTCATGGTGGGTGTTTGCAGCCTGACACACCCCAGTGTGCGGCGGCGTGAACAGTGAGTGCTTCGTAATGGCGGACAAACCCAGAAAATACAACAGTGGAGCGCTGAAAAGAAAGAAGAAGAAGGAAAAGGGGGAACGCGACAAAGAGGTGCTTCAGAAAATACCAAAGCTAACAGGTTTTTTTAAACCACTGAGCGAAGATGGAGCTGCAGGATCTTCCTTGCGTTCTGTAAACATTAGCTTTGCTAGCAGCATTGCAGTTCGGCCAGCTGATGTTCTAGCAGTTGCAGAGGAAACAAAGACGCCAGACTTGGGGGAACCTGCTGAGACCATGTCCACCATGGATTATCTTTTCCCGCTGGAGAATGATTGTGGAAGATTGGCGGCAGAATCCGAGGCTGCAGAGAAGGCTAAGACGACGAACCCGGGGGGACCTACTGAGGCCACGTCCACCATGGATTATCTTTTCCCGCCGGAGAGAGAATATGGAAGTTTGGCGGTTGAATCTGCGGCGGCAGAGGAAAAAAAGACGCCGGACCCGACGGCACCTGCTGAGACCACCAACAACACGAATGATCTTTTCCTGTCAGTGAGTGATTGTGGAAAGTTGGCGGCTGAATCCGCGGCTGATGTTCCGGCAGCAGAGACGCTCGACCTGGAGGCATCGGAGACCACCACGTCCTCCATGGATTATCTTTTCCCATCGGAGAGTGATTGTGGAAAATTGACGACCGCAAGTGCGTCTGGGCCACGGATTGAAACTTTGGATGAACCTTACAGTACGGATCCAGCTTGCTGGGGAAAATGTGATGCATCTGTGCGTGCCTACTGGGCTGAGCGAGGACCGCAGAGCTGCCAACACATGGACGTAAATTTTAAAGCGTCCGAACGTGTGTACAAACAGCAGAAGCGGTTCTTCTCCAGACTGCACTTTAAACGCAGACTCGCCAATGGTGAGTATGTCCAAAGACAGTGGCTGCTTTACTCTCCGCTGTGTTTTGTTTTGCATGCTGCATTTTCAGTGATGCTAAAAGCAAATCGTGCTTTGAAACTGGTTTCAGTGACTGGAAACATGCCACAAACAGGATGAAAGAGCATGAAAACAGTGAACATCACAGAAAATCTATGCTGACTTATATCACACTTGGGTCAGCTGCTGGGAGGATAGATTCAGAGCTGGAAAAAAAATTTGAATCTGAGAGTGCATATTGGACTGAAGTTTTGAGAAGAATTGTGTCTGTTGTGAAGTTTTTGGCAGAGAGAGGACTTGCTCTTAGAGGATCTAGTCATGTTTTTGGCAGGACTGATAATGGTAATTACCTGGGCCTTCTGGAGTTAATCAGCGAGTTTGATCCCTTTTTGAAGTCTCACATAGAGAAATATGGAAATGCAGGTGCAGGGACACCTTCATATCTGTCTTCTAAAATATGTGAAGAGTTTATTCAACTGATGGGTGATCGTGTTCTGTCTGAAATAGTCGGTGAAGTAAACATGGCCAAATACTATTCGATCTCTGTTGACTCCACTCCAGATGTTTCCCACCTTGATCAGTTAACATTTATTCTGAGATATGTGTCACCTGAAGGGCACTCCCAGGAACGCTTTCTTAAATTTCTTCCCATAGAGAGCCATACTGGGGAAGCTTTATGTGAGCTTGTACTCAAGGTTTTGGGAGAAATGAACATTGACATTGCAAACTGCAGGGGGCAGTGTTATAATAATGCTGCCAACATGTCAGGAGTATATGAAGGACTACAGGCACGTATAAAAGAAGTAAATGCCCTTGTTGAATGGGTTCCATGTGCAGCACACACCCTGAATTTGGTTGGGGTCAACAGTGTTAACTGTTGTTTTGAGACTGCTGATTTTTTCCAGTTTGTGCAAAACCTTTTTAACTTCTGCTCCAAGTCAACAGCAAGGTGGAACATAGTGACAGCTGGACTCAAGCCCAATGCTAATAAGCGCATTGAAACATTGAAGTCACTTTCTAACACAAGATGGGCTGCACATGCAGATGCCACACAGGCAATATGCATAAACTATGCAAAAATTCAGAAATCTTTAAAGAATAATGTACATGACACTAACCACAATGCAGCAACTAGAAATGAAGCCAGGTCACTTGATAAAAAAATGGACAAACTTGAAACTGCCTTCATGTGTACTGTGTGGCATTTCATCCTCCAGCGCTTTGAAAAGGCAAGTGTAGCATTGCAGGCTGTGGAGCTAGACTTGTGCAAAGCTGTGGATTGGGTAAGATCCTTGAGGGACTACATTGGCGGTTTGAGAGATCAGTTTGACAGGTTTGAGTTGCAAGCAAAGTAGTTGTCTTCAACAGTTTCACATGTTTACAAAGGAAGCACTCAGAGACAAAAGAAAGCAAATACAAAAGGAGAAAGTGCCACCACTTCAGAGGTGGAGCAGTCAGCGAGACACAAATTCTCCACAAGTGTATTTTTGGTGGTTGTTGATAGACTACTTGCTGAAATGGATCGCAGGTATGCTGCATATGATAACCTCAACAACACTTTTGGCTTCCTGAAAAACCTTTCTAATGTCACTGCCCAAGAACTACGAAACAAAGCCTCTAATCTCCAAAGAAAATATTCAGCCGATCTGGAGATGGACTTTGTAGAGGAGATTGTCCAGTTCAAAGATTTTATTCAGAGTAGAAGCTTCACTTCTGCTCCATTACTTTTACAGTTAATCAGAGAAATAAAACCTACAGAGCATCTTTCCGAATGTGGGCATTGCATTTAGGCTTTACCTGACATTCCCTGTCACAAATGCAAGTGGTGAGAGATCATTCTCTAAGCTTAAAATAGTGAAGAACAGACTCAGATCAACAATGGGACAAGAAAGACTGAACAGTTTGACTCTCATGTCCATTGAGAGTGATATAGTGAGAAGGCTGGACTTCAGTGATCTTGTCAAGGACTTTGCTGCCAAAAAATCCAGAAAAGTAAGCATGTTCTCAAAATGCTGATGGGTTTTAAAAACTTTGACAAATGAGTAAAAGAGCTTGGCTGCCTGATCCATCTTTTGCTTTGAGCACAGTCTTCTGTCTTAGTGGCAGATGAGTGCGCTTTTGCCTTTTGTTTATTTTTGTTTAAGTAATTTGACAGCAAAAGCAGAATTTGAATTGTATTAAAATGCTCAATGTGTAAATGACTACCTAATGTTAGGTTATTGGTTCACACAGCTTTTAGAAGCCAAAGTTTAAATAACATTTTCTTTCTATAAAATGCAAATCTATTCATTCAAGGATTATTGTATTGTGTGTGAATTGGTTTATTAAAGATGTGTGATCTAAACAAAAGTTTCAATTTGTAGTCCTTAAAATAATATAGTAAAATTATGTGTGTGTGTGTGCGCGCGCGCGTGTGCGTCTATGCAACAATTTTGAAACAGGGGGCCACCTAAATTGACTGAAACCCATGGGCCCACAACCTCCTAAATCCGGCCCTGGTCTCAGGAGGTTGTACCTACTCTTTGGGATTGTTTTCTCACATTAACATTTGGGAAATGTTTCCCAGACACTAGCTGGTCCAGATGGTACTTATTTATTTCCTAAGCCTCTTGAAAGCTTGTAGAAGTCTATCAGTCCATTTTTCAGCTCATGCAAGGATGGTTTGTGGAGATCTGGTGCAGATAAACCTCTTTAGTGGCACAAATTTTAAAACTGGCACATCCAAGGGCAGCCTATGCTGCTGCTAGATTTTTATTTATTGTATGTTTACGTTCCTGAAAAACTTCACTTTTGGGATTGGGATCAGCAACACTGGGAATATTTGGACCAATAAATGCTCTAAAACATTATTTTTAACTGATATTTCTATTCCCCCTCTATCAATTAGATGTTTTGGTAACTAAAGCCTCATTTCCACCAACATTTTTGGCATGGAATGGGAAGGGTTGGCTTGCTAATTTTTCTATCCCTATTGTTAAACCGGTCCAGACAACCTACCCGGACTGCGCCAGTCACGGGACTTTTTTGGCCCCTTTTTGTTGTAGTTCCAGAGATTTCTGGAGCATCATAGGGCGGAGCTACAACACAGTTTACTGATTGGGGGACAGAAATACGTCACTACTTGCAACAAGCTAAACGGACCTCAGAGTTCTGTTGTTTGTATTAGTATTTTCATTTGCTTTACACAAATGTGAGAAAATGTCGGGAGGTAGCAGCAAGTTTTGGTCATCTTCAGAGCTCCATACAGTCCTCACCATCATCGTGAGAGTCCACTCTGAGTAGGAGCTAAATGGATCGGTAAGGAAGATGTTTCTCAGCGGATGGCTGAAATCGAATCGGACATTGAAACAGTGTCAGGCCAAGCTGAAGAAATTAATAGAAAAGTATAGA